GTAACAGGGGTCGGGGTCGCCGGCGGGTCTTCACATAATACCCACCCCGGTGGAGGCCTCGCCCCTGCAGGGCACTTGTGCAACCAGGAGTTGTCTTCTTCCCCTTGCTCACGCTGTTTCATCCGTCATGTTCTTGAATTCGTGCTTCCTAACTTGTTTACCGGTTGCCATGTATGAGATAACACCAAATCAACGCCGGTTGATCTAGGGTCCCCACAGACGCGCCAATTTGATATGGTCCAAGATAAAGACTCCGACTCTTCAAAGTCTCCTATTTGAATTATGGATTGGGTGGTTCGGTCCGGTCCGCAGGTGCGAGTTCGCCGGCACCTACAAAGCGCCGAAATTGCTCCGGCGCAAAACCCTCCTACGCCCAAGTCAATATGTTAGAGAAGAAGAACAATAATGTGTATTGAATACAATAGTAATGGAATTAATGAGGTCTTACCTTTCGGTTGTGGAATTTACACCTTTTATAATGACTAGTTGTACGGACGTCTTATTGGGACAGTAAATCTCTAAGTGACTCGACCCCTTTAGACCGACTCACTCTCGGTCGAATCCCTCCACCAGTCGGTGCTAGGGTCGAAGCTCGACCCTCTTGGGCAGATCGACCCTTGCTCTCGGTCGAGCTCTTGGGAGCCGGTCGAGCCTTGCTCTCGATCGAACTCTTGAAGCCGGTCGACCCTTGCTCTCGGTCGAGCTCTTGAGGCCGGTCGATCCTTGCTCTCGGTCGAGCCCTTCAACGCCGGTCGTCATTAGGGTCAAGGTTCGACCCTCTTCGACCAGCCGATCCCCGGTTGACCCCCAATGGTGGGTCGGTGCTAGGGTCGAGGGTCGACCTTTTGGGCCAGTCGACCCTTAGGTCTTTTTCGGGATTTGTCGCGTTAGGCCGAATTGATACTAATATCCCATCACTCGTATACCCTTAGGATTAGTTTGATAGCATTGATAGGGGGTGATATCACCCCTTATAGTTATTATTTCCACAAGTTTAACATATTTGGTTTTAGTTGCTTTGACTCTTGAAATGTCAATGGCCCAATTTAGTTATAACCATGAAATAGGACACCACATCCGACCCCTACCCCAGGACACCATATCCATATTTTCTGGTATTTTTGCAAATTATAAAACCACCCTTACATAAAATATTAGTATTCAGCATATCACGCCCCTTTAATTTTCTTCACTATTTTCGAAACCTTGTGTTTCAGACCCACCAAAATGCCACTGCGAGAACATATATAACCTCTTGTATGTGCGCTTCGTCTCTCCATCAGTCGTAAATTGAAGGTTTTTCTCTCAACTTTTGTAATCCGACGTAGGTAATCGATTCAGTTTCAACTCTTACGCATTCGATTACCTTTTAGTTTGTTTTCTATTTTTTTTCGACTGAAGCTGCTCGTATGTGAAGGAATGCATGTGATTTATTTGTGATAATAAACTTCAGCAGGTAGTCTCTCATACAAAAAATGTGTTCCAAAAATTTGTCTGTGTGCCTAAAATTAATTTTTTTAGTTGCATTGTACAATACTTGAGAGTTCATATTATTTTTGTTACATATACATGAGATGAAAAACCGAGCATACTGTCTTAATTATTGAAATGTTTTATGATTTTGTCAAAGGTTTTCATCGAGGTGGTGTAAGCAATGACAGAGATCTATCGTAGAAAGGCTGAAGTTTTACAACTTATAGTCGAAATAATGAATAACTGTACATTCTTTATGAATATGGTGGTTGCTTCATGAAGCAAAAACTAAGGTAACATGGCTGAATGTTTAAGTAAACGAATGAAATACATGATGACTAACAAAAGTCCTAAGCAACTAGAACACTTAAATAACTAGGAAGTTGCACGTGCTTTGCACGTGTTTTATAAGTATTTGTTGATGAAATTATAATAGAAATAAAGAAAGCAATACGTGGAGTAATTATAAAATTGAACGCAATAATGTTTCCATCGAATGATAGAAAATAAAATACTTAATTCTTCTAAATTGAATTATAGAAATTGAAAAATAAAACACTTAATTCTTCTCTTTTTTAATGTTTTTCAATAGTGATATCTTCTTGGGAGTTGATTTTTTCTTCACATCCATCTTCTTCCTCATGATGCTAATGGTGATATCATCATCATCACTTGAAATAACAATGTCATCATCTTCTTTGATAGAACTCTTTCTCAATCTTTTCCCTTTATTTGCATCCATTTTTTAAGTCGGATGAGAATTTGAGGAAGTAGCAATGTGGGAATTTCCAGAATCTTGTTCAACTCTTTCTATTGCATCAGCTACTAAGTTCAGACTTCCTTCTATTTTGGTTTTTCTTTACCGTAGTTAAGAAGCGGAATATAGTAGATGATTGCAAACTCAGTCCTCTATAGTAAGTTGACTCATTTTCTCCCTGAATATTCATAAGAAATAAATAAATTGCAAGTGTTATAATATTAATTTTATTATTATTGTAATTATAAAAACATTATTGTAAACAAATGAGTGATAATTTACCCCATTGATTGACTGAATGTATTGATCAACTTTACAACCAACATAAACGGTTGCAGCATCTTCAAACAACGTTACAAATGCACTTTCATTTTCACTCACGACTTGTAGGACAATCCTGAATCTAAAATATTGATTAACCAAGATAAGTAAGTTATTCGTATAATAGAAATTAAGTATAGCAATCATAAATTAAATATTTGTTACCTTGGAATTATTTCCACATCTTCTTCATTACGCTTGCGACACGATGGTGTATCACTATTTTTTTGAATCGATGCAGAACAAGTTTTGCAAGAGTCGTAATATATGTAAGGTTTGTTCATGACCTTATCAACAAATCCCTTGAAGCAATAATATTTATTCTGAAATTGGAAAAAAAATATAAAAATTTAATAATATAAATACATAAATCGTTATGCTAATATATTATAAATTGAATAGTACCTCACTCAGTTTATCCGAATCGTGAATGATATAATTTAGGGAGAGTTCTTCCATTTGTTTCATTCTATTTTTCATATGAGCTTCCATCATCTTGATTGTATCGGGCATCTTGGAAGACCTATGTTGAAAATAAATAGAAACAATAAAGATGTTTTATTCAATTAGTTTAGTGATATGTATTAATTTTATTTTACCATTTTTCCAAGAGCTGTGCTTCTTTAAAAGTTGGTTGGATAATCAAGATTGATGCTGGAGAAGATTGCCAATGCCATTGTTCTGCATGGGAAGAAAATCACATAAAGAAAAAGTGTAATTTAGCAGACATAACTGATTGGTTATTATTTAAAATTGTGTTGATGGAGTTAGGCACAAAAAAATGATGTAATGAAAAATAAACATTTGAGATGAAAACCATGATTGCTTAGGCTGAATGATATTAATTGTTGTAAAAAAAAGTGCAATTATTAGCAGACATAAACACAGGAGTTTTATAGATACTAGTAAAGTGCACGTGCGATATTGTACGTGGTGTCGAATGATTTTCGCGGAGTAAGTTTGTAAAATAAATTAATTTATTTAATAAACATATCATTGCATAAATAAAGTAAAATATAGAAAAATGAACTCATATGTGATTTTTTATTTACTAGTAAAGTGAACGTGCGATGCACGTGGTGACAAATGTTTTTGGCCGATTAAGTTTAGTAAGGTAAATTAATTAATTTATTAAACATATGATTGTAGGAACAAAATAAAATGATGAACAAATAAACTTCTAATGTATTATTTTTTTTCAAGAATAACATAATGATGTCGTAACATAAAAAGATTTAAATAACATATTACAATTCGAACAAAAATATATGAAAAATGAGTCCCTAATAAAAAAAGCCCTAAATAATTAAATAATGACATAATGTATGTTATAGATGCATCGCATGGTCGGTACGGTTCGGAGATAGATAAATCTCTGGAACCGTATCAAAATTTGGAGATCACAAAAATTCGATCTCCAGAACAGTACTAAAAATTCAGTTCGGTTCGGTTCAGTTTAGAAATTTTTATGTCACGGTTCGGTTCGGTTCGGTTTGGTTTGATATTCGGGACGGTTCGGTTCCATTTAATTCGGTTTAGATATTCTGAGATTTCTAATTATTTTTTAAACATTTTTTGAATGACCACCTAGTTATATTTTATTTTTATAAATTTTTTAAAATCCAACATTTATCAATACTTCGTCATACGAAAGATTTTATTTTTAAATCAACTTTAGAAGTAACTCTAAATTTTAGGTAAGACTAAATTTGTGCAGCTAACATTGAAAATTTAAAATTCAAACAAAATATAATATAGTTTTTTATTAAAGTAATATTTCTTTAACCTTGCATACCATGTTTATAAGATAGAATGAGACTAAATATCGAGAAATTTAAGTAAAGTTAAAATATTTTATATATTTTCTTTTTAAACAAGAAGAAATTCAATTATATATCAAATACTACTAAGATGAAATTTAAATGAAGCTTAATTGTTATTACTATAATTTATTTGCATTTAAATTTTTTTCAAATTATATAGGATCAAAGTTGACATAAAATATATCAATAACACACATCTATTTTTATAATTTTGTTCTTATCATCGGCTCGGTACGGTAAGTTCTCGGGACTGATATTTGTAAAATCTCTGGAACCGTACGAATTATTCTTTCGATTCAGTTCGGTTCGGTTCGGAAAAAATCAAATTGTCAACGGTTATTTTTTGATTCGAAGTAATTTTGGTTCGATTTCGGAACAACTCGGAATTCTCCTAATCTCATGCTCATCCCTAGATGCATGAGTTCTTTTGTTTATTTATATCAAATTCAGGAGTGATTTTCTTTCACTGTGGTTTTGACGTTCTCATAAGAAACATGCGTACTCGTTGAAGTCAATACATTAATAGTATTGCA